AGCAGGAGCTTAGGGACCGAAACCAACCTCAAACTGGGACATCGCAAGTCTTGCGCCAGCGTCTTTATGACTATGAGCGAAAGTCTCTCACCCTCTTTTCCAGAAGCGATCTTGGACATTGGAAGATATCCTTAGGGAAGCCGCGGGGACGAAGAATCCACCCAGGCGATGAGTTGGACCCGTTGGACATGTACACCTGGGCCATTAAACTCAGTCCATACAACCCTACATACTGGGTCAGCCGTGCCTATTGCCACTATCAACAGGCCTTCTTTGACCTTGCGATCGGAGATGCCTACCGAGCCCAGCTTCTCTGCGAGGTGCTTGTCGATGCTCGGTGCAGAAACCGCCAACCCGGGCTTTACCCCCGAATCTGGCACGCCATCTCTCAGCATATCATGGCAGGGATGAACACTGATACGGGAGACGTGCCGCCAGAGGTGGAAAAAATGCGCCAACCTAACGGGATTAACTACTTCATCCCAACCCTGCGAAAGGCACTTCATAACATCATCAGCCTCAGTCTCGCTGCACTTCAAGCCCGAGAGGATTGCAAGGCCATGGAGAAATACCTCCCTCAAAGGGTCATCATGCCGGACCGCGATAGACGACCTTTCGAACGACGTCACGAGGTGATGGAGGCTTATTTCGAGCAGGCTCACGATGAAAAGGAGGCGAAAAAGCTTTGGTTTCACGAGTCCCGGGCAGGAAAGGTTTCGACAGAAAGACTATATCCGTATGAATCGAGTGACAAACATCGCACCGACCAAGATTTCCTCGATGAATCGAACCAAAGGCTCTTCGAAGACAATCAAGCCCTCCCCTGGAGGAGATGCAAGGTCAAACCCGTAGAGCGCCTCAAGCCAGCAAAGGATTCCGCCACAGCGCTAGGAGTGTTTGCAACCGAAAACATCAAGAAAGGACAGATGATTTTCGTCGAGGAGCCGGCAATGCGGGGACATCTCGGTGTGAGCAGGCTGCCTTCGGACCGGTGTGAATACAGCGCAAGCACGCCACGATGCGACAACTGTTACAGAGAGCTTGATGCCGCGTGGCAGGAAGAGGACCAGGAACGGATTAGGAAGATCAAAGCCGGACAGGACAACGCCGCATGCAAATGCGTTCTACTCGACGAGAAAGAAGCTATACCGCTAAGCTACTGTCCCCCACGCCCTGGGTCCAAGACATGCTCCGAGATTGCACGGAAGCTCTATCACTTTCGGGCCTGTGGGAAAAACTGGAAATGGCTGCATGATGCTATGCGCCCATACATGATGAAATGGGCTAATCATAAAGATTATTCTTACTTTAGCCACACAAACGAGGCCCATGGAACATTGCTGAGCCTTCTCCTCAGGGAAGTTTTCGACATCACACTCGAGAGACGTGAAAGATTTCACGACCCGAGCCTCATGCCGCACGAGATTGATGAACTCTTGATCCTTGAGGATAACTCGGACCAAGCTGATGAGAAAGTAGCATTTCCGTTCACATTGGCTGCCAACATCCAGGTCCCCTTTGACATTCTCATGCAGCTGGGCGTGGACATATTCAGCGACCTCACGTTCGACACCTGGGTCATACAAATCGTGTTAAGGAAATTGCTGATCAACGCGGTTCCCTGGGCTGATGTACCGGCCCTGAGGATGAGCAAAGAGCCAGCCAAGAAGATTGTTAGGCGGAAGGAGATCGACGACCCAGAAAAGCAACGAGAAATGACTAAAAAGAGGGAAAGCTTTGAAAGCTACCACCCGTCATTCCGAGCATTGTATCTCTACCCTGGCTTCAGCCTGTTCAATCATGCCTGCCCGGAAAAGCATAACGCACAGTGGGGATTCGACTTCGACGGGGTCCCAAATCGTGTATTTGTATGGGCAAAAGAAGATATCCCCAAGGGAAAGGAAATTCTCTTTTCCTACACTGAGTCGCCCATGACAGAAACGGGTATGCTCAGGCAGCTTGGTCGACAATGTGCTTGTGACGGCGAACACGAGGGCGAGTCAAGCGATGAGGACAACACTCCGCAGCAGTCTCCTCAGTACCCGCCGCTGAGCGCCGCACCTCGCGATCCCACACCAGATAACAGTTCCGTTCCGAGTCAGGGTTCTTCTACGAGGGCACTCGGGACCCAGACGAAACTTGGCCGGGCGCAGATGGACGGAGCAGATGACGACGGAGAGGAGTCTGCAGCCAGAGAGCAACCTTTACTTTCCGAAGCGCCTGAGGCCGGAGAGCAGTTTGACCCGGAATTGGAGCGTTATATGGCAACAAGGAAGCGCCCGTACCGCGGGGAATGGGCAGAGAATGGACATTACAAGCGTCGACACTTCGATTCCTAGAAGAAGCTCTGCGGAAGCAGCATCAGAGCTATTTCACCCGTTTCCTACATATTGGCAGAGGGACCTGAGGCGCTTCTTTTGCCAGAGAGCCGAGCAGGGACTGTTCATACTGAGGGACATCAGATTTGGTGCACGGGTTGTATTTCTGTTGATTGCGATGGGTGAATTTCTTGTATATTTTTTTTGAGATTATCTTGCGTTAGCTGCTTGATTCGGGTTGTTTTTTATCGATGTGATTGCTATGTGTTATTTGGAGTTGGCAGAGGGCGAGGAGCCTTCCCTGATAATATCTGTAGCTTTTTATGGATTTCAATTCGAATGAGGTCTTATACTGTCGACAATACTTTACAGTTACACTAGATCAATCTGCCTGGTATCGCCGGAATAGACAACGTGCTCTCGCTGTGTCTATAATCCAAGTAAAATCGAGGATTCCAGATGTTCATCACGACAGGAGACGTACCATCAGTTTGAAGAAGCGAAGTCATTGTATCTTTTAGAGACTCCATTATAGCATACAGACACAGAAGAAACCCAACACATTCGGTAAAGTACAGATATTCTAACGAAAAGCCGAACCCCATCCTTTATAGCACAGCACAATGGACGGAGACTCGATGCCATAAAAGGTTTATACACAGAGCCACAGCAACCCCGCTAGCGCAGCTCTAGATGAATAAACGACGTTGCCTGGAGTCGTTTAGGCCATCACTCTGAGTCGTCTACCCAGCTTCTCTAATTCACCAACAACGCCACCTCCGGCCAAGCTCCACTTCTCCCCGACCCACTCGTCATTGATGTTTTCCCGGAGAAGTCCACTGCGTGCGAAGTATTCCATGAAGCCTCGAGCCTCATCCCTTGTAAGGCCGCCAATAGTCTGAAGCTCCAGAGCACCTTCCTTAGCAGAGGCGGGTTTGGGAGACTCGAACGCGTCAAGGACGCGCTTGTCAACCTTGCTGTAGGGGTCGGCCTGAGGGAATTCGGGAGCAGAAGGATCAAGGCCAGCCTGGCGCGCTGCTACCTGCTTGAGAGCAACTTCGAAGCTGTAGACAGTAGGATTGTTGGAAGCGGAAGTGGCATAGAGCAGCATGCCCCCGTTCGGAAGGGTAGGCTGACCGGCACCGGGCTTCAACAGCGAAAGGAAGTGTCTTACGAAGACGAGATCATGAGCATGAATGGGCTCAAAGTCAGCAGTTCGGTATTCAGTGTCCTTCATCCAGTGTGCCAGGCCATCCACAGTAGCAAGAATGGGAGGGCGAGGCTTGAAGGCCTTCTCGTAGCCGGGAGACGCAGAAGTTGCAGTAAGTTCAGCCCACAGCGCCTCAAAGACAGGCCAGGCGACAGCGGGATCGTTAATGCCAAGAGTAGCAAGCTCTGCCAGGCTCGTGCTAGGTTTCACAGCCGAGCCGAAAGCAGGATGCGCCCGAGAAACCTTGAGCCCTGACAAGACCTCCTCGTTCGCCTTGACTGTACGAGACAAGAGGGCGGCTGTTGCTTCATTCTGGACATATAGATTGGGAACTTCGTCAGAGAGGGGCGCGTAGCCAGTATGTGCGATGACGAGGTCCTGGGCTAAGATGTTCTGTAAGCCCACGTACACCAATGCAGCAATCAAGCAAACAGAAGATCAGGGGATAGGTAAACAGGGTCGTAACGTACGTTCAGGAACAGTAAACACGACCCATTTCTTAGTAAAGGCCATGGCCATGGCTTGCAGCAGGTGCACACTCTTTCCCGTTCCTCGCACACCAGTAACGATCTTCTTGACCACCTTGCCCTTGTCTTCGCCTTCACCCGAGATCATGTCAAACTGTCTTCCCAGTTCCACAGTTTCCCGTCTTACCACCGTGCCGGGACGGCGGAATATCGACCAGCCCTGTTTGGGCTTGAAAGCCTGCACGGCTCTTAACGGATCGATCAGCGGCAGGGGTAGACCTAGGACCGTTCCGCGGAGGCGTGAATCCACCATCGTCTCTTCTGTGAGGTCCTGCATGCCCTCAACCTCAAGAGCGTTCGGGTTACTGAGAACAATGCGTTTCCGGAGCGCCTTGCGTTCTCCCACAGGAGGCGGACGGGGCCTGTCAACGGGCTTCTTCTTCTTCATCTTGGCTGACTTTGCCTGACGGTACTTGGGAGGACCATCAAGACTGACTTTCTTCTTTGTTGGGTTTGCATATTGCACCGCTGATGAGTGGAATGCCGCTACTCTGGGTGTTGCCAACGTCGGTGGTAGAAGAGCTCGAGTGGTCGGACGAAGCCGCGTCAAGCAGCTCCAGCAGAAAGAGGAAACCATTGCGACACACTGGCGCAGAGGCCGGCGTTAACCGGTCAATGGAGGCTGCTGGAAGGTTAAAAGGAGAGGGAGACAGGTTGTTGCCGTTGACTGCCCGAGTGTATCAATTCCAATGCGGCTGGGGTCTCGGAGCAACATTTTCGAACTTCTCCTGTTACTATTTAGGGATTAGCGTAGTGGCCGTTCTAAGCGTGGGACCGGAACATGGGTTAAAGCGGCCTCCCAAAATTTATTCCGCAACTTTTTTTTGGGGCCAGTCCGATCGGGCAATAATACTGGTCCATACTAATCGTCTGCATTTCGCATTTCCCAACCTCACCGGTATATATCGCCGTTCTTCAAGAATCGGCATCGGTACCCTTGTCACAATGACCGAAGTTGAAATGGTGACCGCTGCCTCTGAGGCTAAGCCCAAACCCGAGAGACTGTGAGTACAATGGTCCATGGACAAGCCAGTAACCGCCTCACTGCAGATGCTGATTCTTTCGATCCACTAGTCCTGTCACAGTCTCCAAGCCCACGCCGTACACTTTTGACTTGGGCTACCTGATGGCCAATGATCCTAATCCACTTGAACTCCCCCGCTCAGAGCCCTTGAACGCCTCTCTGAAGGCCATCGCGCGAGACGGCACCCAGTCCCTCCTCAACCAGCTCCTCACTACCTGCCCGATTACATCTTCCGCACAGAACGGTGTCCTCCTCACTCTCCCTCCCCCAGCGACTGTACTCCCGCGACACAAGCCCTTGCCCACACCCAAGCCACCTACCAAGTGGGAGCTGTTCGCCCGCAAGAAGGGTATTGGCAAGTATAGCAACAAACCCGGCGCTGCGCTGGCGGACAAGGAGCGCCGCAAGAAGCTGGTCTACGATGAAGAGAAGGGTGAATGGGTGCCTCGATGGGGCTACAAGGGCAAAAACAAGTCTGATGATGAGTGGCTGGTAGAGGTCAAGGAGAAGGACTGGAAGAAGGAAGAAGAGGCGGCGGCTAAGGGCAGTTCGATCCGTGGCTTGTCGCGTGCCGAACGCAAGGAGAGAATACGCCGCAATGAGAGGAAGATGAGATCTAATGAGCGGAGGTCCCGCAAGTCCGGTGGTGGATGAGCAAGTAAACACTACTTCGGATGCACTAGACGAAGATCTGATCTTCGTTCGTTGTTCTTTCATGTGTCTCAAACGCTGGGCTTGGCCAAACAAAAGCAGGAGTTCGGATTGGAGTCGCCGGTCTTTCTATTGTTTATGTCACTTTTATGGATTTTCACTGTTGGACCAAACAAAACAAGATCAGATTAATGCATCATACCCCGATCATTTGAGATCTCAAATGCAAAGCGGTCTAGAACTACAGGTTGCGACCATTCACCTTCGTTTTGGTTTTGTACTCAAGTTGACGCATAAGAGTTCCGTTGGATATTTTACAATAAGAGGCTGATAGAGGCACACAACTGGCGCACAAACAAAGTAGAGGAATGACGGCGTAAGGGGTATGCACGAAATGGAAATGAGAAACATCGAGAAAAAGCTTCAAGCTGGGAATCAAATGGCAAAAAAAAAGTAAATGTGACGTTTCAAGTACATGTAGCATATAACAATCGGGCCATCAGGATACTGCACGTTAGCTGAGGCAATGTACAACCAAAAAATTGTATGAAAACCCATAACCCAACTCCGAGGGCGCCAATCTATGCACTTCTTTCGTAAAGAACTACATTTGAGAGACGGAAAAAAGAGTAGTGATGAAGTGCACCGGAGGAAAGTGTTGGATTCAATAATTCTTCCGCAACTTTGTGCGCGAAAAAGAGAAACCAATATGGCGAAGTAGGGAGAATCACGAATTGCAAGCAGGATCTTGGAAAAAGTCAAGTTCAATGTACAACCACAAGAAGATTAGTTTGACCTCGGATCCAGTCCGTGTCTTAAGCAGGATGCTTTCTTAAAGGGGCAAGAAGAACGCGTCGGAGAAGTTTGGAAAGGGGGGCACGATTGATGTAGCTTGAAAGATGTCAGGCCAGTGTTCACAACGGCATAACTTCACCAAAATTGTGAGCGGAGAATCAAGGTCATATCTGAATCGGAGACAAGGGGGGCCCGAGCTCGGGGAGCTGGGAGATGCTCCTTGTGTGTGTAGTCTCAATCTGTTTGGGCTTCTGTTTCCGGCTCTTGGCTGTCTCAGGACGATACGTTGGTTCATCCTCGGCAGCTGCTTGACTGCTGCCGGAAGAAGATATGGCCCTTTCGTTAGCATCCGAATAAGGTAGAGAAGAGTGATCAACAGCTCCCGTCTTCGAAGATGCGGCATTCTCCTTTTCGTCCATCTCCCTTTCAAGCTGCAGGTACTCTTTCTCGGTCCAGCAACCCTGCCAGCAATTCTTCCAGTCGCATACGAGGAAATGAAAGCAAAACGCGTCAATCTTCATGCAAGGCTGGAAACAGATGCAGAGATTCCGATAATCCATCTTATTCTGATCGACATACGAGTGGAGGAGGTTGAGGTGGCAGGTGATTGCAAAGAGAAGGTAGTAGTTGTAGGGTGGCAGTTTCGAGAGCTCATCCTTCAGCAACTGCGGGGCGGTAGTTGCGCCCTCGCATTTCTCCGCAATCATGGCCTGGGTTTCCTTCGGCAAAAGTTCGTCGGGCAGCTCCCGTAGCCAAGCCTTAAACATAGATCCAATTGTATTGATGTCATAAAGATCTGGCTCGTCAAAAAGATTGATGTCGAGTTCTGCGCAGTTAGCGATAGACATGAAAGCTTGTCCAGCTCAGCTTACCTGTATCAAACCGCCGTTGCCAATGCTTTACTTCTTTACCACTACCGGGTACGCGGTAAAGTCCTTCTTCCTCACAGCCCTTATAATTGAGATAGCTGATGTGATATTAGTATAAGTGAGGACCAGCTCGACAGGACGGCAACTCACTCTATGCAACGATATGGCAAGGCAGGCATCCAAAACTCAGTCTTGTCTCGGCAGTCTTCCAGCTTCTTTGCTATGCGTGTTCGTCTGGCCTGCTCGATGAGAGGGAGGTTGATGACAGAGCAGACATAGTTATCATCGTTGAGTAATTCGCGTTCATTTGTGCTGCCACTCCTGGTAATCTTTCCAAAGAATCCTTTTCCTGCCTTTCCAAGTCTGTCTGCAGCACCACTGGAAGACTGTTTGATGTTGTTAAACAGCGCAGCAGAGGCACCTGACACCTGACTTAGTGAAGCGGAGGGCACCATTGAGCCGACATGATTTCTTTCTTTCCGAGCCTGACCACTGCCTGGCTCTCCGGTGCGATCGACGGCATAGGTACGCACTGCAGCATTCCCAGCTCCCTTGAAGCCGCGGTCTTGTCGGGCCGTAGCTGTCTTGGGGGTCATCTCCGCCTCCCGTTTGCTGCTTTCCTCAAGCTTCACTAGAGGCGCTGACGGACGCCGATTGGCTATTCTGTTTAACGCGGAGTCGTCCAGTCTGATGGAACGAGAGCGCGACAAGATATTGGCAAAGCGCGGCTTGTTCTTCTTCGTAGGATTTCCGGTCTCAAGATCGTTGCCAGCCTTTTTGATCTCAAGCGGTTGAGGATTCTTGCTTTCGACCGTATCTCCGTCTATCAGACCTGCCATTAGTATACTGATAAAAACTAAAACGCAGGACATTGTATGAAGCGAGACGCTTACTTTTTTCCTCTTGGGCTGCGCGCTCGATTGTACCAGGAAGATCTGGCGTCGACTCGTACGACTTGGAAGCGATCTGTGTTCTGCGATCCCTAGAACTGCCCCGGCTCTTGGGCTTGTCACTTGAACTTCCCGAACCGTCTGAGCGTTGGGCTCTGTGTGCAGATTTCGGCGCCTTGAGGTTCGCAAAGAAAGAGCGAGACGGTTCGCGACTGTGCTTGGGCGAATCCCTTGGCGAAGGAGGATATGGAGGAATGGCTGTGAAACCAGGAGTCGTGGGTTCCGCCGATTGAGCAGAAGAGAGTGGGAAAGTAGGACTGCTCGACTTGCTATTGGACTCTTGTGTTACAGGGCGGATGGTCGCTCCCTTGAAGAACGGCGAGCTGGACGATGATTTGGGAGAACGGGGTGTCAGGGGACTGGCTCTGTCGGAGCTTTGGGCACCGGGCGTAAGTGGAGATGAGTTCTTCGCATTCGCCTGTAGAGTGAAGGAGCTTAGATCTAGATTGGGAACGGTGGACTGTCTCGAAGGCATTCTTAGACGTGCGTCGGTTCGCCGGGCAATTCACCTGAAGGAGTATCGCGGAAAAACACGTCAGGGCGAGAAAAGTGATATATCAAGTGCCCACAGGATGTGCAAGCTCTATGAGGGGGATCTAATCGACTAGTCTGCGCCAACATGGTCAGCACAATTTTCGAGATTTTGACCAACAGGTAAATCACAGTGAGCTGGCTATGAGTAGACAGTCCCGGACTTATGGACTTACCCGTCTGACACTTCCCAGTCGTCCAGATGATGGAGCAAATTCAACTTTCCTTCAAGAAATGTCCGAGAGGAAGGGGCGCGAGCGAGACCGTTTCCTGAGATCACTCTGATGAAAGTATTGGAATGGAACCAGCCTTTCCAGTACTTCTTTCGATGCTTCGGATGGTCACTATCGGTACGGATCGCCGTTGAAGGGGGTAATATGGTTCGGGGGTTGAGATCTGTCAAGAAGTCGCACGACCATTAGTGAGATAGTAAGGAGCAAAACCTGCTGTATGAATAACGAAGAGATAAAAAGTATGTAGGATGATGTCTTTCACCGCAAGGAGCATGGCTGAATGTAGGGGTCTCAGAATGAATCAAGGCGATCTATAAATAAAGCTGACATTGACATAACCTCAACCCCTTGATGACCATTGACGCAGCGCATCCTTCCGTGATCCATGAAAGGGATCATCACAAGAGAAAATGGGAGTTTGGTCTGGATTTGCTCAACAAAGACATCTCTGTGACCTACCAAAGTGTGTCACCCCTCATACTCTTGAAAGCTCTCTACCCAAGGTCTATTCAGTGGCTTTCCATCTATCGCAGTTAAAAGACGAGCGATCCACGAAATCGTTGCCCACGAATGTTATAGGCAATGATTATTGAACGAATGTACGCTTGATTAATGTCTTGAAAATTTTCGTGTATGTTTTGTGGGAATATTTTTTCCCCTTGTGGAATCGAGGGGCGGTCGGTGAAGAGAGTACAAAGACAGAAGCGAAGCGCGACGGCAGCTTCCAAGTGGCTAGATATGAAAGAAGAACTGTTAAAGAGAAGAGGAAATATTCTGATAGGAATTACAGATCCTCCAAAAGAAAAAAAAAAAACGAAAGCAAAATGTCGCTATGAATGAGTAGAATGGAGAGGCTTGTGTAAGTAGGGGCTTACAGTAGTAGCAATAGCAGTAGTAGTACAGAGCAGGAGGAACACAAGAGGATGGATGGGTCCCGCACAGACTAGAGTACGGAGTAGTAGATAGGCTAAGTATCTAATAGATATCTCGTAGCGTCGCTGACTTGCTCGTCGCAGCAACGACACATTCCTTGAGTCCTTGACAGGCGCTAGTTTGACAAGACAGTAATAATGCAAGCGCGGCTGCGTGGTAAGCTAAGAAAAGGGGGAAGGATTAGTGGCGATTGAAGACGACTGCGAATGGGAAATTGCTCTATGGATCTATAAATGTCTAGTGGGCACTTCAGGTGCCACCTTTTTTGGTGTACGTGGTTGTCAGAACAGTGAATGATATTCAATCTGGATCATCCCAATTATCTGCAATATCGTCATGGAAATTTGGATCGAGACAGATAAAGCATATCTCCTAAAAAGAGATCATCTGTGTCCGTGGCTGGTTTGATGACACTATCTCATTGCGATGTCAATCCTCGATTAAATGGGAGAGGGACACTGATGATTAACATTTAACACATTGGTACAATGGAGTTTGTCTGGGGCGGGTATTCATGCTCTATGACCAATACAATGACCACTATGTATGAAACCTTACTCTCATGATTCTTTTCTCTACTGAATTCTGAAGTAGTAAAGAGTACTCAGCTATTTGAGCGCCTATACCTTTACTGTAGGATCTCCAGACTTCCAACCAACTTCGCTTTTTGTTTACTTCAGGGGATTTATACAGGCACGAAACAGCCTAACAATGGTCAGTGCCATTGTTCCTTACACCGAAAGATAATTCCCAGTGGTCAAAAGAATTGGCCTTGGACGGGCTGATGTAGACTTCGGTTCAGGGCATGCGATTGGGACAGCGGATTGGTCAACCAAATATTGCCGGAGGGTCGAGTTGACTCCTTTTTGCCGAATCACCAGGTTGCATTCAATATCAGAAGGACGGAACGGATGGCTACCTAATGTACCTGGCGGCTAGTATATTAAGTCAGTATCGCCTAGCCTTAACTTGATATCCTAAAATATTTGCTTTATGGATATAGAAAGGGGGAGTTATCATCAGCATAGTTCATACAGGCAACAAGTAAGTAACTCTTGTTCTTTCTCAACCTGCCCTTATTTAGTATCTATGCAGTGTACCACGGTACTCCATACTGGCTCCTGTTTATCATACAAATGCGTAACCACGGGTCAAAGAGATTTTGATACAACCAGTGGGTCACGATAAAAAAAGTACCTACGTAGTCATACCAAAGGTAACTAATATCTCAAGTCTCACTTTCTTACCAATCGATCTAGTCTACATATCTACCATCTACTATTAGTCTGTCGTTTCCAGACGTCAGTACATTTCCATTACCCCGCTGGATTCTCACAGGCCCATGTCGATCTATCACTCTATCGGTGTATCAGCTTACAAAGTTGACTAATGCCCTAGAGACTTTCAATCCTGTGCGCAAAGCGATCATTGCGTTTCATTGATTCGGTGAAGGGCAAGAAGTAGACTACCAACGGTTCGATGTACCCAGAAAGTCACTGATAGTTATGAAGTCTTCTGAGACAGACTAGTTTGTGCTTAAAAGATTGAGACTAGTAGTATGTGCGATGGAGCAGCTTCTCTGAGCTATTTTCTTATGCAAGTTATCTTACGTATGCGCCTGCTGATGGTCACCTCTGTCGCCCATATAGAGCCACCTCAGATGTCATATGGCCTTCCGTTCAAAAGATAAATTCGTGGACGGATGGAAACAAAAATCAGCCAATAACCGACATTATCTGGATATTATTATGATTCACATATTCACGTGGTTCACACTTATATGACTTCACACCGCTCTTGGATTCGATTGTGCATAGGGACTTGGCGAGCATGGCGATCCTTGTCTTTGAATGTCCCTTCTGAAACAATGCCCCGCCCTTTTGGCCCCTGGCCCGCTTTGGTGTCGCTAAGTCACGTGACGACAAGTCCTTTGCCGACTAGCGCGTAGCAGTCTTCCACTGCAGAAATTTATCCCCTTGACAATTTTCCATGGAGGCTGGCTGCCTTTTGCCTAAGCCTAATACAACCAGCAAAGCCAGGTGTCTTGTTAGCTTGTGAATCCTGGCTGCCCTTGTGGCTTTTCTTTTTATTCTTTTTGATTTATATCATGCTCTAGCCTCTTCTGGCCAGTTCGCTCGGAGAACAATCTTTGTAATTCGGGTGCCTTCAATGCTTCTGCTATCATCTAGCTGTGGAGGGGCCGCACAGAATCTGCTTCGCTACCTGAACCTGATTCCGAGCTAATAAGAGAACTCCCAGCTTTGAAATACTAACCAAGCTATTCTTCCCGAGTAAAAATAATTATCCAGACCCGAATTCGAGATGTCTCTGGTCTCGGGTCCTGGTAGAGCTGTTGGCACTCTTCCAGATCACACGTTGTGTGTACAGAAACATGTGGAGTACATCAGGAATCTGGACAGCGTGCGTGATACTTATATCTTCTCTTAATGATGGGGAAGATGGTTGACAGGTGACGCTAGAGGCGGGATGAGCTGGAATATTGGCTCACAGAGCATCTTCGTCTGAATGGCGTATACTGGGGCTTGACAGCCCTGCATCTTCTTGGCTTCCCGGAAGCTCTCCCTCGGAAAGAGACTATCAACTTTGTTCTCTCCTGTCAGCGCGAAAATGGCGGGTTCGGAGCTGCACCCGGCCATGATGCACACATGCTTTACACTGTCTCAGCCGTCCAGATACTTGTAACTCTGGATGCGATGGACGAGCTGGAAAAACGTGGTTTGGGAGGCAAGCGGAAAGTTGCATCTTGTATGATTTTGCTTCCCACTCTCTTGTAGTCACCTTCCATTCACACCTCGATCATACTAAACAATCGCAGTCATCGCAGGGCTACAGGACAGGGCGACAGGCTCCTTCATGGGCGACGAATGGGGTGAATTGGACACCCGTTTCGTCTATGGTGCCTTTAATGCCTTGTCATTATTAGGACTTATGGATATGGTCGATGTCTCTAAAGCCGTGGCCTACATCCAGAAATGTGAAAACCTGGATGGAGGATACGGCATCTGTCCCGGAGCCGAGTCCCATGCTGGACAGGTCTTCACGTGCGTGGGAGCGTTGGCCATTGCCGGACGTTTGGACCTTGTGAACAAGGATCGTCTTGGTAGTTGGCTCAGCGAAAGGCAATTGGACAATGGTGGGTTGAATGGACGTCCTGAAAAGTTGCCAGACGCTTGTTACAGTTGGTGGGTCGGGTCCAGCTTAGCGATGATTGACAGGCTGCACTGGATTGATGGCCACAAATTGGCTACATACATTCTGCGCTGTCAGGTGTGCTCGCCTCGTTGTCTACCAGAGTGTCGTCAGAACTGACTCGATGCAGGATCCTGAAGCTGGCGGTTTCGGAGATCGCCCAGGTAATATGGTTGATGTCTTCCATACGCACTTCGCAATTGCTGGTTTGAGTCTCCTGAAATTCGAAGGCGTCCAGGAAGTAGATCCCGTTTAGTAAGTCACTCGCACGATTTACTCCTTTGACACATTTTTGCTGACCCGGAAATAGTTGTATGCCAAGAGCAGTTACAATGAAATACTTGAAGAAGTAGCACCTTTCCAGCCAGTAAAGGCTCAAATGTCTCGACATTGTCCCCAACCGTAGTCAATTCGACCTCCTGCAATCTAATAACCCGTTGTTCTCTACCGTCCATGGACTATGGGATACAAGGCAGGAGAAGAGAAATGACCACTGCGACTTATTTCCGCTTCATATCATTCCACAATTGCCTGATAATAGGCTGTTAAGACGCACTGGCACAATATATCGCAGCGCACAACCTAATTTTATTCTTGCTAGATAGCTGATTAGATGAATCGAAAATATTTCCTCTATTGTTGCAATCCATCATCATGGTCGACTGAAGTCGACTGAAGTCGACTGCTGTAGACATAGGACATCCCGCCACCTTCCCAATACAAACATCCAGTCAATTACAGGCAGCCCCTTCTCGAAGCAGCAACGTTTGCATCGCTACATCGAAAAGAGGCAGGCACATCCCTTCGCACGTCAATCACCTGCTCGGAGGGAAATGGGTATCTCAAGGCAAGTATCGTTCATTCTCGTCACTTCTTCCACAATCAGGCGGGGGTGTTCTCGGTCAGGGCCAGTCTTTCTATCTTGGATTTTTGTTCTGCTCTATTCCGTGTTCGTGCAATTATCGGGCTACATTGCTTACTTGTCCCTTCCTTTCAGATCTCGCTTGGGTTGGATCCATCATTCCGACTGCCCAAGATGAATGCTGAAGCACTTCAATGCAACATCTGTCCCAAACGGGCTCGATTCAGCGATGTGTCTCACTTGTTAACCCACGTCTCATCGAAGGCCCATCTTTCCCATTACTTCAAACTTCAAGTGCGAAGCCATCAAGAAATTGAAGCCAGGAACCTCCTCCATGAATACGACAAATGGTACAAGGCCAACAACTTGGCCAAACTGCTTTCTGATCGGATGGCATCGAAGGAGGCTCGCAAAAGAAAGTCTCTTGGGAATGCGCTCGCACTTGCTACATCATTGACTGCCCGACCTGGTGCTGGACCAACAGATACACCTAGAGCTATATGCCCTCCATCTCATCAGCCTTTGCCTGCGTTCCTTGACCCACGCCTTTCTGACCCTTACCTGAACGGCGAACCCAATGTGAGGAGCGGAAATGCTTCTCTTTCCAGTCATCATGAAACGTCAGCTATGTCTTCAGTTCCTGATCCTCAGTCTCATGTCCGAACAGGCTATACCCTGCATTCGAACGATCCGCGCCAAGGGCTTGCACCGAACCAGTGTAAACAGGAGCCTGACTCTGAATCCGAAGAGGAAGGTGGTTCCGCCACGCAAATCACGCCGAGCCGGTCAATGAAACGAGAAAGCAGATCAGGTAACACTTTGCAATCGCTGAGCAGCAACTCCATCGATGACGACCCCTTTGTCGACGACAATGGAAGCTTTGATTACCTCAGGCTAGTCGGAGGTGACAAAGAGAGGGCAGACGAGATGACAAGACTGAAGGGTGTACTGTGGCCTGGCATGGATATTTTTGATTCTGCAACAGAGCAGATGAGGCGTAAGCGCAACCAGAAGAAAGATGAGAGCATACTCAAGATGATGGAAAAGACCTCCCTGTGTGTGGAGCCCACTGAACTTGTGTTTTCGCCAACAGGCATCCTGCGAAAGCAACGTGTTATATCAGGCAACGTCGAAGACAGCAGTCCCCTCAAGGGAGAGACACCGATCCCTAAAAGACGAGCCACTCGCCCGAAGCGTGCACTTTCCCAAGTTGACTCTAATGTTCCACGTGGACAGGATCGGAAAAGGAGCAAGAAAGGTGCGAAACGCGCGGCAATCAGACGCGAAGACGGCTTGGTCAGATATGACTCTCAGGCTTCAGGGAATCCTGGGGCTCAGTTGCCATTTAAATACGGCGTTAATCTCCGCTCCTCTTACGGAGATGAAACGGAAGAATTCAGTCTGGCGGTGAATGGGCTTGACTCCAGAGCTCGAACTGGTTTCACAGTTTTCCATGACGAATCTAGTCAGCACATATCCAGCTACGATGAGCAATATCTGCGCTTTGGAGTATCGAGTCCTTCTCGGGAATCTCTATTTCGGCGTGGAGCAACAGCTGAAAGTAGGGTCAACCGATTTTCGGGCAATAAGGCTCCATTGGCTTCTGGAAGGCTCGCTCATGCTTCTGCAGAGAAAGAAAACATCGACCCTATGCTAAACGATCACTGCCGGGGTAAATCCCCTCTACTGTGGCAATCGTCGATTAGATCGCAGCACGCAGGCGATACGGGTTATGCATCGCAGTATTTCTTCGAAGAAGCCCAAAGCAACGGACTGAGTCCTTTTGAGACTCATGGCTTCTACGCCGGCTATACGTTCAACCCATTGGTTATCTCAGCCCCTAAGCTACCCACTGAGAACCCAATCTTTGATGCCAATAGTCGTATTCCCCGATTGCATTCTATCACACGCGCTACATCGCCCGAGGCGACTATATCAGACATTGAGGAAGACGACTTCGAGCAACTCTACTTGGACACGAGTTCTCTCTAGTCTGCCAAGTTTCAACGCCGTCATTCTCTCTCTCAAATCGCATTTGTTGCGGCACGCTTGAACGTGAATGACTGATCCTTGTCCGCCACCGAACCGTTGACGTGTTTATTTATACATTAGCACTTGCTGTCATCCAGTATCCAGACGGACTTCTGCCTCCAAAGAAGGCACATGATTCTAGGCTCAGAATCGCGCCTTTGCTACCAGTGTTTTCCAGTTACTTCAAGTTTTTGTACTATTATACATTTTGTCAGGGAGCAGAGCGTCAGGGTCCGGTAGGATGGAGTTGCATGGTGGAACATTGCTGTACGATTGTCTGTATACGATAACTCATACTTTGATTAGATGATTAGATAATCAACCATTAAGATCAGATCGCGGGCACGATAAGTTAGCGTGTTCTTCACGCGTCAAGCTCCATGACGCAGCGGAATAAATCATTTGGAGTCCAGCATAACTTGGGATGATCTACAGAATCCAGAAGCCTTGAATCTGGCTGATTAATGAAGAAATATTTAGAGGCTTTTCAATAAGGTGCACACTGGCGCCGCTCGCTCAAAAGACATCGGAAGACTCATCGCCACTTCTACACCTGCGATGCCAAACTCCACGCCTCTAATCTGATCCTGCTTCGCGTTGACCAGTTGACTCAGGAGTCCACAGCGACTCCTGCGAGGTAAAATGACATTAAGTTCGTCGCAGTCATCGCCGCCATCCTCACAGAATCTCAAGCGTAAACAACAGACCATTTCCAGCTTCTTCACGAAGCGGGCGCCGACAGCAGAGAAGAGAAGCAACGACCTTGAAGATGGGCGAGCGACGACCCAGAAAGGGGCAGAGATGCCGCTGCGTGAAACCACAGGGGATCAAGATGATTTGGTGGACGACGAGGATGGGGATATAGTGGTTCGGGCTCCGAAGCGGGTCAAAACGAACCGAGTTGATCCTGAGAACGGGTTTGGACGCAATGTTACACGGGGACCAGACCCACCATCAAGCAGCAGCCAACGCACTAATCTTTGCAAGTTCGCGAGCTCTCCTGCTGATGATGCAGGCATTGAGAAAGCAGACGATCCGGAGGCGAGGCAGCGGCAGCTGGAACGCGAGAAACTACACAAACTATTTGTCAAGAAACTGGGAGGAGCTGACTGCCTAATCGGGATCGGTAGGAATGCCACCACTGAGGCTCCCTCTGGTACGGAGGAAGTTGCGGAAGGCGATGAGGATGATGAATCCGCACCCCCGCCCCGGTCAAAGGGGAAAGGAGCGTCAAAGAAGGGCGGGAGCAAGCTGACTCCGCTGGAGAAGCAAGTGATTGAGATCAAGCGCAAGCATATGGACACGGTTTTGGTGATCGAGGTGGGCTACAAGTTTCGATTCTTTGGCGAGGATGCGAGGATCGCCGCTAAGGAATTGAGTATTGTATGCATACCTGGCAAAATGAGGTTTGATGAACGTAAGTCAGTTCAGAATTCTTTTTCTGTCTTTCTGCATTGGAGATATGATTGCTAAAGGATGTGCGATTGCCAACAGATCCCTCCGAAGCCCATCTCGATCGCTTCGCATCCGCTAGTATACCAGTCCACCGATTACATGTGCATGTAAAGCGTCTCGTATCAGCTGGATACAAGGTCGGCGTGGTGAGGCAGTTGGAAACTGCCGCCCTCAAGGCTGTTGGAGACAATCGCAATGCTCCTTTCTCCCGAAAACTTACCAACCTATACACGAAGGGCACTTATGTAGACGATGTTGAGGGGTTGGATGGCGCTACTCCTGCTGCATCAGGCGGTGCTTCCCCGGCTACCGGGTACATGCTATGCATTACTGAAACAAATGCAAAGGGCTGGGGCAATGACGAAAAGGTACATGTTGGTATCGTCGCTGTCCAGCCAAACACCGGTGACATCATCTACGATGACTTTGAGGATGGATTTATGAGAAGCGAGGTGGAAGCTAGATTACTTCACATCGCGCCTTGCGAACTTGTCATTGTCGGGGAATTGTCCAAGGCTACAGAGAAACTCGTGCAGCACCTCTCTGGTAGCAAGCTGAATACGTTTGGCGACAAAGTCCGCGTGGATAGGGTCGCGAAGAAGAAGACCGCAGTGGCCGAATCACATAGTCATGTTGCAAACTTTTATGCTGCGAAACTGAAGGCAGCCAATACTGCGGACGATGCGCCAGCCAGTAACTTGCTCCAAAAGGTGCTTAATTTGCCGGAGCAGGTGACGGTGTGTCTCTCGGCTATGATCGAGCATCTGACAGAGTACGGATTGGAGCACATTTTCGAACTCACCAAGTATTTCCAACACTTTTCTTCTCGATCACACATGCTGCTGAACGCGAATACCCTGGTCAGTCTCGAGATCTACCAGAACCAGACAGATCATTCTGCCAAAGGCAGTCTTTTCTGGACCTTGGACCGAACGCAAACGAGATTTGGACAGCGGTTGCTCCGAAAATGGGTGGGACGCCCCTTGCTGGACAAGGAGCGCCTGGAGGAAAGGGTGAATGCTGTTGAGGAGCTGAAGAGTCCGGATAGGACTGTGCAGGTCGAGAGACTGAAGATATTGCTAGGAAGGATCAAGAGCGATCTGGAGAAGAATCTGATTCGGATATACTATGGAAAGGTACTGTGACTTAAATATACTGGAGCGGATCTTTTGCTAACGAGGAAACAGTGCACGCGCCCAGAGCTTCTCACTGTTCTTCAGACGCTGCAGACCATTGCACAGGAGTACGTTGACGTCAAGACCCCCGAGGACTCCGGCTTCACATCGCCAATTCTCGGTGAGGCTATTGCACGAGTGCCGTCAATATTGGAAGATGTTGTCAAGTTCCTGAACAAGATCAACATGCATGCGGCGCGAAACGACGACAAATATGAGTTCTTTCGGGAATCGGAAGAGACAGAAGGAATTAGCGAACACAAGTGCGGGATCGCCAGCGTTGAACATGAATTAGAGGAACATCGCTCTGTCGCTGCCGGGATCCTCAAGTGGCCGAAGGTGACTTACGTTACTTCGTCAGGGATCGAGTATCTGATCGAGGTTGAAAACACTGCAGCGGCCATCAAACGAGTGCCAGCATCATGGGTGAAGGTGAGCGGGACCAAGAAGCTTTCTAGATTCCATACGCCAGAGGTTATTCAGCTATTACGGCAACGAGATCAGCACAAGGAAGCGTTGGCTGCAGCGTGCGACCAAGCGTTCGCGGCTCTTCTGGCCGAGATAGCGACTAATTATCAGTCCTTCCGTGACAGCGTCCAGTCTCTAGCGACGCTCGACTGTCTGCTCTCACTGGCTGCAATTGCTAGCCAGCCAGGATACGTGAAGCCCGAGTATACCGATCAAACGTGTATTCACGTGGAACAAGGGCGCCATCCAATGGTCGAGCAACTTCTGCTTGATAGCTATGTTCCCAACGATATTGATCTGGACAGTGACAGGACTCGAGCCCTCCTCGTCACCGGTCCGAACATGGGCGGCAAGTCCAGTTATGTGCGGCAAATAGCCCTGATTGCCATTATGGCACAGATTGGCTCCTACGTGCCTGCTCGGTCCGCGAAGCTCGGCATGCTGGACGCCGTGTTTACTCGCATGGGAGCTTTCGACAACATGCTGGCGGGTGAATCGACCTTCATGGTCGAACTGTCGGAAACGGCCGACATCCTCAAGCAGGCAACGCCCCGTTCGCTGGTCATCCTTGATGAGCTGGGCCGGGGTACGTCTACTCATGATGGGGTTGCCATCGCGCAGGCGGTTCTAGATTACATGGTACGAACGATCCGAAGTCTGACCCTCTTTATCACCCACTATCAGCATCTTTCCAATATGGCGCAATCCTTCCCAAACCACGAACTTCGCAACGTGCACATGCGATTCACCGAGTCTGGGTCTGGCAAGGACGAAGAGATCACCTTCCTCTACGAGGTTGGAGAGGGTGTGGCGCATCGCAGTTACGGATTGAACGTGGCACGGTTGGCGAATCTACCAGCACCGTTACTCGAAGTGGCCAGGCAGAAGAGTTCGGAGCTAGAGGAGCGGATTCGCCGTCGTCGACTTGCCGGACTTCGTGCTGATGTTGGAGGATTAATGGAGGATCCTGCAAAGGGAGATGAGGACTTCTTCCAACGGCTCATCAGCAACGCGGAGCAGCTGTAGGTCAACTTGCAGACCGGCGAAAGGTTTCGGGGATTTGGCATGCTACCATACATACAGTTACCACATAGATAGGGCTCAATCATCATCCTACTCCGTATGTTCAGCTTGAATGCAACTTGGTCAGTTCACGTTGAGTATCGGTCAAGCTGTGGATGCCATCATTTAGACTTGGCTTGAAAGTTACTACGAATTACGATCTACACCAAGGACTGGCGATCGTCCTACCGGACCTTGCGTGTTCTTGACTGGGAGAAAGGTGGAGACTCATTGCGACTCGTATTTGGCAGAGGTTGTACTTGCGCGACGACTCACCACCAACACCTTTCTCACCAATGCACTCTCAATTGTCCCAATTAGCCCAACCCTCAAGTGCAGCGAAGCTAGGTCCAGTCTCGATGCAAGTAGGTGGCTGCGTGACCGTCATATATTTGAATCGATTTCCCAGTGACCTAGCTTCTATAACCCATGTATCGTGCAAGCCATCCTGAACGGAAGATCAACCAGACCGCAAATTCTACTCGTCTATCGCCTTCGAGAAGGACTATGCGATCAAGGGTATGACAAGCGACAGACGAAGAAAAAGGATCAAGGTGAAAAGAAGTCCGTCCATTCGAGCATCGTTGCTTTCAAATTTTTTTGCGTTTCATTAGAAAGGGTTGAGCTTGGTTTCCCCGTTGGCTCTCTCTTTTATTCCCTGATATCTCGAAGACAGATAGGATATGTAGAAAGATTTGGATGGAAAGCCAAAATATCACAACCGTTTCGTTCGCATCAGCCCATGCAAAGTTGAACCCAGCCACGCATTTCTCATTGCTAGAAGAACTTTTGCCTTTCCCGACCTCCCAGAATCATTTCCAACGCAAGCAAACGTACACGGCCGGCCTCGAGAGGGGAATAAAAGACGACAACTCGGCGAGAAAATCGACGCGGAATTACCGCAGACGGCGGGCCTCTCTCTCGGATTCGAGCAGGCAGAGGATGTCATCGACCTTGACTGTAGGTAGCGACAAAGATTCCTAGTTAGCCCATGCACATGCACATTTTGAATATTCCACCCTGGTTTTCGAATTCCGATGGTCCCCAGTATCCGGATTCAATATGGTTCGGGCTTGCAGTCGCATTCGCATTCGGAGTCATTCCCAATTTTTTGCGTTCCCTGCACCGAGATGACCAGTTTCTTCGTTTTGAATTGTCGCGCTCGGATTGTCGGCCGGGATACGAGGACCACCGAAAGAAAAACCTCCAAAACTCAATCGCTGAGTGGAAATCGCATACCTGGACCCTTGACGTTACGGATGATGCTGCGGGAAGTGTCATCCATGAACTCGACGCGGACTTGGGTGACACCACCACGGGAGCCTAAAGCGAGAAGCAGTTATTATACCAAATTCCACGCGACATCCATCATTGTAGACTGTAGATTGTAGATTGTAGACCACGTACCGGTACGGCCGAGAACACGAGTCACCTTGACGAGCTTAACAGGCTGCTTGGCGGAATCCATCTTGGAGGTTGGGCTCGACGACAGCGAGAGGGTTGACTTGACGGGATAGAAGGGAAGATGGCGGCGTTCGGTGGGTTAGATGAGGCCGTACGGGTATAGAGTGGTGTGGTGGACTGTGATTGCAAGCGAGGAATTTGCCGGCTTGTGTGGGTTTCTATTTTGGGCTTAGCGCAGGAAATTGGGACTTTACGCGAGGGCTCAGGGCTAACTGACACCTGGAATCTCAGGCATGAATGAAACCGGTTTCAGGCATAGATGCACAAGGCAGCATTCAGGCCACAAGGCATCGGTTTGGTCTCCGATGAGGATCCGTGACTTTTTTTTTTTTTTTTCTTTCCCTTTCTTGATGGCAGACTCCAGGTTCAACCTTGGGATCCCGTGGTTCAAGAAAATAATGTGATTCGTAGAACCTCGTACTCATGAATTCGGCTTCTATGTACATACTCCAGATAGCTTTATTTTAACAATTGTAGTCGCAATTGAGCTGAATTCCTGGCTGTCCTGCAGCTTCTGCCCCTCACTGTTCGAGTCAGAACCTGAACTCCGATTTCGTTCCTGGAAACCTGCAACTTTCGGTCAACTCTTCATTCCAGGCACGTCAGCGGTGCGCCAGTCAATTCCCGTTGGATTTACTGTATAACATTGTCATTATCATTTAATCTCACTTGTGCATAATATCAATCCTTTCCCCTCTAAATTTGCTGCGATTCCTGGCACAACTCACATCTACCCCGCGTCGTCGATCGTCCGTAGTCATGGATCTCGTCAACCAGTATGTGACCTCACCACCAAGAACAGACCCTAAATTTCACTCAATTGCTATACTACAAGACCGCCTCATAATGACTAACATTCTCTTTCAGCCTCGAAGGAAGACTCCTCTTCGCGGTCCCTAAAAGCAAGTTCCCTCTGTGACTCACCTCATCTTTCGCAATCGCAATTCCATTCTTTGACCTCAGGACCCTACGATCGCAACGACAAAGACTCTCAGCTAATTCATACTCTTGTTCACAACAGAGGGCCGTCTCCAACAGGCTACCCTAGACCTCCTGTCAGGCAGTGACATCCAATTCCGCCGCGAAACCCGCCTCGACATCGCACTGGTCAAGAACCTCCCAATTGCACTCATCTTCCTCCCCGCCGCAGACATCCCGACCTTCGTCGGCGAGGGCCGCGTAGACCTCGGTATCACCGGCCGCGACCAGGTCGCCGAACACGATGCGCAGCTGGCCGAGGGCGAGGTCTCGGGCGTCGAGGAGATCATGGATCTCGGGTTCGGCGGGTGCAAGCTGCAGGTGCAGGTTCCGCAGAAGGGCGACGTCACGGAGGCGAAGCAGTTGATCGGCAAGAATGTTGTGACTAGCTTCACGGCGCTGACGCAGGCCTTCTTCTCTCGGCTGGAGGGCGTGGAGTTTGGGCAGAAGCTCAGCACTAAGATCAAGTATGTCGGTGGTAGTGTCGAGGCTGCTTGTGCTCTGGGTGTGGCCGATGGTATTGTCGATCTTGTTGGTATGTGTTGCCGTTTCTGTTTCCCTTGAGTGAGTTCGATACTGACCGGAGCAGAATCCGGCGAGACCATGAAGGCTGCTGGTCTCAAGGCCATTGATACTGTCGTCGAAAGCACGGCCGTGCTGGTCAAGTCTCGGTCAACCCAGAACTCCCTTGTTGATTTGATCACCTCTCGTATCAGTGGTGTTATCAGTATGTCCCCCTAAATCTGATTGAATGGCCAAGTGCTTACGGTCTTCACTACAGCCGCTCAGAGATACGTCCTGTGCCAGTACAACATTCCCCGCTCCGGGCTATCGGTTGCCTCGCAGATTACCCCCGGCAAGCGGGCGCCCACAATCACCGCTCTGGAGGAGGAAGGCTGGGTGGCCGTCAGCTCCATGGTGGAGAAGAAGAAGATTGCGACGGTCATGGACGAGCTGCTCAAAGTCGGCGCATCGGACATTCTGGTCCTCAACATTGCCAACTCGAGAACGGGTTAGAATTTTCCCTTTTTTTTTTTTTTTTTTTTATCGTTTTTAGATTCTATGCGGCGCGTGATTTGTAAGATCGTTATATCTATTGAACTTGGAGGGTTATCTTGGCGGTTGGCGGAAACTATAGACTACGGATATATGAGAAAATGAAACCGATCATCAAAATATAGCAAGGATAGATCGATACGTTTATACATGTCTATCTTCTATATATGAACGATTGGAGATGCAGTATACAAAGGCGCCATGCAGAGATAGCAGCAGTCGGGTCATTACTTGTATTGTCGTCATCATAAAACAAGCGCTTGGGGTATCAAATACATGCAGTCCGTAGAAGAGCTTACGAAGAAGGCGCAGGCTCAGGCCCCGGCCCCGGACTCGGCCCCAATCCCACGCCCTCCCGTCGGCCACGGACCAAAGCCCGGAGACACTGGCCCACCCCTTCCAGATCGCCCAGCAGCCCAACATGCCCGCGCTCGCTCTTGACCAGCCCGCCCTTGATGATCCGGTACCCCGGGGGCAGCATCGCCGCCGAGGCGAGACAGACGCCGTCGCCAGCCGCGAAGGCCAGATCATCGTATGCATCCTGCCGCTTGATCTGCTCGGGCGACCAGACGCGCGCGCCGTAGACGGTGGGGACGGACTTGCCGTAGAGGACTGCAGCAGGCGGGTAGCGGTTCTCGGCCTGGTGGGCGGGATTGAAGGCGAGTTCCTGCTTGAAGCGCTTGACTTCGGCGAGGGTGCGCTCGAGGTAGGCGATGGCCGTGGCGCGGGGGATGGTGGAGGTTGTTGCGAGCTTGGTGTGCGCTGCGGCGCCGCGGAGGTTGGCGGTTGGGCCAACGAGGCCGTCGGCTGTTGGGGCCATGGCGGAGGCTTTGGTGGCGACGTCGGAGACGGGGCCGGTGGTGTAGGGGGCGTTCTCGCGGTGATGGGGGTGGTGGACGGCGCGGCCGTCTGTGCTGCGTCGAGTGGGTGTGTCGGTGATTTCTTCGGCGGAGCCGTTGTTGTTCTCTCTGCTGAGGACGGTGGTGAAGCGCTTGCGGATGCCGAGGTCGGGTAGGTTGTCTTTGAAGCCGCGGGTGGCTGTCAGCGGAGGCAGGGCGGGACTGATGCAGGGCGAGAGGCGGTATTCGTCCCAGTTCTGGACGGAGAAGAAATCGACGCGGTATTCTTCCTTGGTGCGTTTGTCGATGAAGCAGCGGCCGTCCTCGGGGAGGAGAGCGAAGCTCGTCCGGAAGGTGAAGTTCACTTGCGCTGTGAGCACGCGGGTGCTCAGAAGGACCTCGTCCCCGTTGCGCAGGGGCCCGAGGATGTTGACGCAGTGCTGTGGGACGCCGGCGTAGAGGACTCCGGCGAAGAGCTCGGGCCGTTGGTTGACGGCATGGCGCGTAATCAGACCGCCCAGGCTGTGGGCAACGACATACGCTCCTCTTTTCTCCGGTGGCACATTGGGTGCGTTGGACGGGAGGCCTTCCAGGAATTTGATCAGTTTCTTCGAAAGTAGGTGCGGGCTTAGTCGCCAATCGTAGCCGTAGTTCCAGACGCGGAGCTTGCCATTGACGGCGTTGTCGCACTTTTGCAGTCGCTTCATCAGCCGGCGGCAGATGTCAACGGGCCCGACATGCGACAACACGCCCGAGGGGATGATCGTTTCCTCCATCCGCTCTTCGTCCTCCGGGTTCAAGCCGACTTCGAGATCGACCTTGCGAAGATTGAGTCCCACTTTCATCGGAACCCACAGCTGGCGATGGGGCGGTTGGGCTGAGCGCAGGACAGAGCCCCGGTAGCCTCCTAAGATGACCACGTCGCCGGTCAACTCGGACAAGGCTTCGGCTAGGATGGGATGCGTCGAGGCTGAATTATTGCGTGGGGATTGCTCACGCGAATGCGAGGCCTTTTCTCTGAGAATCTCCCGATGGGACTGCAGTTCCGCAGCCGGTGGGACTGCTTTTCGATGGGTGACTTCGCTGAGAAATGGCTTGTATCCCCACTCGTTGCGGAGATCCTGAAGGTGCAAGGTGGGCATGCTCAGCAGCCGGCTACTAGAGTCTTGGAGACTGTCCTTGATGGCCTTGAAACGACTGTTGATCTGGGAATGAATATGTTCGTACCGGGGTGCCTGATCCAGGGACGACGCAGTGGACGATGCTCTCAGGTACAAAGATTGATCCGATGAGGATCGCCTGAGCGAGGCTGCGTTCCCGGAGAAGTTACTTGGTTTGCGTGTAAATGAATGCTTCGCAGCCGTCATCCCGTTCAAAGGTCTCAACTCCGGAATCGGCTCCTCCGCAGCAGGTGGGTGCGCGTGGGGAGTTGAGCACGACCGCCGCCTCTGCTGTTCAGCGGCCGCTTGTGCCTGTTCAAGAGCCAGTCCGGACGGCATAGGCTTCACAGTCTGGCTGCGAGCTCGGTTATGCAAGGTATTTGACCGAAAGGGCAGCGATGACCGTTTCGCCAAAGAGCCCAGGTCCGGCAAAAACTTCTTCAGCCGCAGGTTGGATATAGCATCTCCAGACCAGGCCCGAGGACGCGGTAGTCCATTCTTAAGGATCGACCTGGTGAAGCTGGTCCGTTGACCGTCTTTCGCAGGGGTGACAGTGCTCTGTTGCACCCCGTTCCGGGCCAGGGCAGCACGGTCCGGTAGACCAGCTCCCTCTGGCGGATGCACATGGGATTCCCGAGCATCCGGCAGCGACTCCGGTTCAGAAGTGATCTCAGAAAGGAAGAGACCGTCGGAGTCGGGGACATTGTCAGGAATGGCATCAAAATACTGGCCATTGCGCTCCATGATACGGGATTTCTCCTCCGCAGGCGTCATACGGGCCTTCATGCGACTCTGCGTTGGGCCGATACTGACGCCAACCATCTCGTCGGCTTCATCTTCCTTGGCCGCGTCGACGGACTGGTAGCCCAGTTCATCGCTGTCAGAATTGGACTGGAGGATCGGAGAGCGATCCTCCGGGCTGGAAGATGCATCCACGATTGCATTGACCTGATCATGGCCTTCCGGATTGACCAGCGAATGCGGCATGATGTCGAAGTTGAGGTTGCTGGTGGTGGTGGATGACTCTGTCCATGCGGTAGTAACGAGAGTGATGATGAACAAAGAACGACAATGGAAGACAGATAATGGTGATTTAAAAATAAGCAGACTAGCACCACGAATTCACATGTGAGAGACTAAGGCAGTCTAAAGAGTGGAGATGGAGATGTCTGAGCTAGGATGAGGCGATGAAGCTCTAACTTGTCGAAGTCGTATTCGTATCTGTCTCGAGAATCGCAGTAGGAAGAAGTTGCGTGACTTGATGATGATAATAGTTAAGAGGAGGAATTTCCCTGAAGATCTTCTTCTCTTCCCTTCTCAATAATACTAATGATTCATAATCCTTTCATAATCTTGTTATCCAACTGAAGTTTCTGTTGGTTTCATTCTTTTTCCTTTTTTTTTTTAATCGCGGTTCCACTGGAATTGCACAGCCTCCGGAGCTCCCGGAAGACACTTACACAACAGTTGTGGATGAAGTTATTGAAGGAGGATGATGATTCGCTGGTAAGCAGAAGCTGGAGAATGCTTGAATCGATCTTGACCCAGTTAGCCCCTGATTGTTCAAATGTTGTGTTCCATGGTGTTGTGCATTGGTAGGTATATATTTGTTGTTGCTGCTATACAATATCTTGATGAACAGTCCGTTTGGGCACGTCATAGAAGGATAACCTTCCCCCATAATCCGCGGAGAAGATCAGATAAATCAAATTCTCTCTAACTTGGACCTGGCTATATCTTGCCACTAACTTAATACGCTGGACATACGAATACATAGCCATGACACATGATATCATGTCCATCGCCACAGCACAGTGACTGTATGGAGTAAGGCACGGAGTACAATTTGATCACAATCTCATGTAGTCTCAATTGCAAGTACAGAAAAGAATACCGTGGTATCATCAATCATAAAAAGTAGACATAGACTGCCTAACGAGTCTCCCTCTGGCCAGAAAGCGTTCCTGACCGGATCTCCTGCTCGCCCTTATTCGCTATGGCCTCGTTCTTCGCTGCGCCTGCTTCATGACCAAATGCCTTGTCAACAGCTGCATTCATTGCTCCCCGCAACGACTCCCCAGCACCCTGTTAAAGCCCTCGTTAGAACTCATCTCCGCTGATCAGAGAACGTAGCAGATCGACTTACGTGAATGCCAGCAATGGCTGATTTCACCCCACGGCCAATCTCCTCGCCCTTGGCTGCTGATCGGCCCTGTCCGTCCGCAGTATAGTGCTTGTTTTCAGTGCTGGGGGCATATTCAGCTCGGTAGTCCTGCTTATCGTAGCTGCTGGATCCCGGGGCGGGCTGGTGGCCCACTCCGCCGGCAGTCGCGTATCCGGACCCAGTCGCGGGGTTGTACCCCGATACATTGGGGTCATATCGTGAGCGATTATCTTCCACTCCAGGCGTTCCGACGGAGGTGGTCGAGGAGCCCTGCCTGACACCCACACCTGCTCCAGAAGTATCGGTAGGATTGCGGGAGGCGCCTGTACCTGTCTCGTTGGTCGTCTTGGTGGTCGTGTTACCGGTCTGGCTGTCGACACGGGGATCAAGCTTGTTCATGACTGAGGAGCTGTGAGGGCCCGCGTTGGAGCTATTCGGGTTGTTGTAGCTCTGTGTGGCGCCTGGGTGGACGTTGCCGGAGGAGGCCATGCCTGGGGCGTACTGGGCGCGGTTGTTCAAGTCGCTGTCGACGCGGGGATCGAGAGTGTTGGCGACGTTGGAGTTATGCGGTCCGGCTGACTTGGAGGCAGGTCCAGTAAAAGGGTCTGCGGTGCTAGCTGCAGTGTTGACGTTGGTCCCAATTGGAGTGGTGGAGTTGGGGTCTTGGTTGTAGCCTCCGGTGGAGGCCTGGTAAGGTGTTTGGGTAGTACTCATGTTGTAGATCGGAATTTATCTGTTGGTATGATATGAGATAGTAAGTTATTATTCAGTGCTCGGATTGCAAGTCCGTCGAATACC